GGAGAGGTTGAGAGAAGTATAAGCCCCTCAGGAAACTTTATAACCTGATGGTTAGAGGGTTGAGAGATGGGGTTGAAACTCCCTTAGTCAGAGGATATTAAACTGGGAGCTCTCACATCTTGAGTGAATGTTTGAAGCATTGGACTTTTGGAGAAAAAGGGAACACCACTCCCACCACCACTTACTCTTCCTCTTGCCATCTTTTGAAAGAAGAACTGATGCTACTTAGATACTTAAGTCCAAGAAGTGGTAATAACTGAAGTGGAAACAGTTACCTCCTTCCAGCCTGATATTAGTCCCTGAGAGAGTGAGAGTTAGGCATACCTGTCTCCTCAGCATTTCCAACTGGCTTGCCTAGACAGCTTCCCACTGAGCATGCTTACTTTTCTAAATACCATTTAGAAAGTTTAGCATATGTATAAGTATGCAGAATTGGGGCCGAAGTTTTTGGCAGGGCGAGCCTTATTACTAATAATGCCCATCATGAAATACCATTGACACTTTGCAGCAGCTCAGTTGCTTTTGACATCACTTTTTACTCAGTTTTTGAGAAAAATCTTATTAGCAATCGTATATGTAATTAAGATGATTGAAAATGTAGAAAGTAATTTTCACTTCTTTATAGACAATCCTTACTCATATGTTTTACTTATCTTACTCCTGATTGTTGTGTACTCTAAACTGCATCTTTTGAGACGTAATTAGTACTATAAAATACTGATACATTTCCTAGGTATAGTTAGCTATAAAAAGTCAAGAGCATATTAGCATGTATTGAGATGCCTGGAATTTTATACTGTACTGTTATTTAAGTTCATGTTGATGTTTTTTCCTTCTTGCCTTATCAAGTTCACAGAGAGAAATTCTGGCTGTATTTTCATATGTGTATATAAGTCCTAAATCCAATGTTTTAACATTGGCTTTAATGAGAAAAAAATCAATATTTTTTTTTCTTTAGCTTAAAAATTGCAGTCTTTGACACTGGTAAATATATGCTTACTCCAGAATGTTTATTTAAATAAAGGAAAAATAAGGGACTTTAAGGTAGGGGCTTGATTATAGTTTCACTTCAATCAGTATAACTCCTTTGACTTTGAAGGAGTTACTTCTCATTTTCACCAAAGAAAGTCAGAGCCTTATACCTTTAAATCAGGCATAGAATATGACAGAGATGCTATAATACCATTGGACCGTCTCTGTTGGAGTGTCTAGTTAAACTGAGGTAATAGCTCCATTCTAAATGTCAAAAGAACAACATCTTTTTAAGCCGGATCATAACCCAGAAGTGAAGTTGTTTTAGAAACAACTTAAGAAAATATAGTCGGCCCTCTCAAAAAATAGTGTTCTGGAGATGAGCCAATTTAAAGTTTACTTGTGGCTAGAAAAGCAATAAAGTAAAAAATACAAAATTCTTGCTCTCCGGATTTTCTCTCTGAGTTATATAGTTAAGTGACAAAACTGAGATTTTATTCTGTTTTTTTTCTTAGTGTGTTTCATTCTTTCCTTCCGTGGTTTTGCTTTTAAAACAAATGTTACATCAATTTAATTGTGTTGTGTTTTTTTTAAATAAGTGCAACTTTCTCTCTTATATTATTTAAAATCTTAGATTTCTCCTTCAGGTACCTGAAGCCTAAAATTACTGACCTCTACAAGCATAAAAGGCTAGATGCTGCTGAAATCATTCCCCTACAAATAATGTATTTATTTTAATAGGGTATACTGCTGGGCTTGCCTTATTTTTAGGAGTTTCCTCATTTCTAAAATGTTTTCATGTCTAAAACAATCATAAGATTAAGTTCCAGCAACCTGTGCATATGCCCAAATTATGTGTGGACCTGCTTTAAGACTGTTTCCCCCTCCTTCCCCAACCGCTCTTGTTTTAAAGGCTAATGACAAGGGAGACTATTTTCCTGTATGGGGAACTTGCCTAGGATTTGAAGAGCTTACATACCTCACCAGTGGAAAGATTTTACTTGTTCGGACTAATACTACAGGTGTTGCATTCCCACTGAACTTTACTTCAGGTGAACCATCCTCTTACGTTCCTGCTGTCATTTGAAATGCGCAGAAATCTTTGCAGAACTTCTCAGATTTTTTTTTCTCATTTGGGGGTTGAGGTTTTGGAACAAGTGATTTGTTCTGTCACCAACAATCAACTTTTAACACTGTCAGTTTTGTTACTATTAATAGTAAACTAATAACATTATATAGCTGCTAGATTTGAGGAGAAACAAGCCGTTTGAAGGTAAGAGTTAAATTGAGATCCAAACAAAAATTATGGCTTTGAAAACCCCTGAGCTTCAGGAAACTATGGTCCTGAATTCAGTATTTGGCTCTGACCCTCTCTTTACGTCACAAATTGTAGTCCGACCACCTCCAAATTTTGGGGACAGTTAGATTAGAACTTGGCTGCAAGAATCATGTCTAATTATGAACAGGAGCACTCTTTTCTTTGGTGTTATAGCACAGGGTACTGGGGCTACTTGCAGACTCAGGTATGTGTAAACTCAGCATAAAGATAGGAGAAGCTTGGCTTTAATGACATTTTCTGTGACTTCTTGTCATGAAATAATCACCATTGCCCCATTGATTGCCATCAGTCAATCATTGGGTCAAATTGTATTGCATTGCTGTTCACAAAACAAAACCTGCAGTGGGTGAGGGTTGCAGCATGTATCCTAGTGAAAACAGCAAGCGCAAATGCTGATGAAGTAGTAGTACAGACTTACATGTGGGAGCATCTTTATATCGGTCTTCTTAACTAACTCAGTTTCATGAAAGAATAGGATCACAAGGATTCAGAATAAATTTAGCCAGTATTTATTAAAGTTGTATCCCACCTGATAAAGATAATCCAGCCCTTGTCAGTAAGGTAATTGAGAACATGTCTTTGTCTTTTTGGTATAAGATGCAAAAGATAGCAGGTTATTCAAGGATTTCCCAGATGAGTTGTTACGACATCTTGCTACTGAGCCTTTGACAGCAAACTTTCACTACTGGAGTCTTTCCAAGCAGGTATTTGATCGTCTTATTTAGTGAACCCAAATAAGTTTCCTCTGTTAAATTTAGAAATAATAATTAAAATTTCTGTAACTTTTTTGCTGCAGAATTTCAGAGCGAATAACAAACTATGGAAATTCTATAAGGTTCTGACAACCAACACGCACAATGAAGTGGAGTTTATATCAACAATGGAAGGTAATGATTGAAATGTTAATGAAGTTGGTTTCAGGGGGGAGGGAAGAGTTGTGGATTACCTTAGTAGGATGGCAGTTTTTCTAATTTATAATACAAGTTAATTGTTGCACTAATACATGTTTCAGCACTGTTTGCCTTTTGAGTGACTGGAATGTGCTCTGTCTGGAGAGAGAACTTATCTTTTGACATGCATGCCTCTGAACATAAGTATTTTTACTTCTCACCTCTTGCTCCCTTTCCAGATATGGCAGCACATTTAAGCACTAGAATATTTTCCGTGCTGTGAAACAAGATATATGCTACTCCAGCTTAATTCCTCTACAGTACAATGTGCATTTACCTGTTGTCTGGCTGCTGATACTGCCTCTCCCTGCTTCACTCTTTATCTGTGCCTGCAGTACACGGAGTGCCATTTATGGTAGAGATATCAACAGTGTCCTTGACAACTTTGTCAGTAGTGCTGGTAACGTCTAAAAGCTGGTAACTTCTGACATCTTCTAAGAGGCTTCTGCATTACTTACACTTTCACATGGCATATTTAACTTCATTAATGTGTGTGTCAGTTCCCTAGAGCAATGGTGTGCAATTTTTTCAGCCTGCAGGCCAGATGAGCATTGCCAGGTCTGTCCATGGGTTGAATCCAGTCCATGGGTCCAATCCAGAGTGTGGTGCTGACTCAGCTGGGACCCCATCAAGCTGTGTGGAAACAGCCCAGCCAGGGCCAATATAGCTGCGTGGGGCCAGGGTCTGATGCAGCCTTGAAGGACTGGTCCAGTTGGAGCCAATCCAAGTATATGGGGTTTGGAAATTTGGCAGGGGCGTGGTGGTAATGTTAATTGCCACTGCTTACCCACCACCAAATTTCCAGACCTGAGGGGAGACTCCATGAACTAGATTACATGGCTCCGTGGACCAGATTACATGGCACCCATGCACTAGAGAATCCTAGAGAGAAGATTTTCTTATGATTCTACTAAACACTATACAGCAAATAATGCATGTGGTGGTATATACATTATATATTCAATTGTAACTGTGGTGGACTGCTTGCACGCAGTAATTGCTTGCCATGTTACATTTTTTTCTGAAATGAAACTGTTTACAACACTGCAGCTAAATGTTGTTCTAAATGTTGGGCTTATTATGAATTTTGAAGCATGAGTGAATTTTTATGACAGAGATCCAACTTGCTCTTTTTGACCTTTTTCCCATTATAGAAGCCATTAAATATAAGTGATATTTCTCCAAACCTTCATGCTCCATGTTCATCTTAATAAAGGTATCCACATACCTCTTAAGTAAAGGCATACATCTTGCTCACCTATGAAATTTTTTTTTCTACAGCATTTGAATATCCCATTTATGGTGTTCAGTGGCATCCAGAGAAAAATCCTTTTGAATGGTACAACTCATCAGGAATACCACATTCCCCATCAGCTGTGAAAGCAGCATATTATACAGCTGACTTCTTTGTTAATGAAGGTAAGAAGTTTGATGAGGGGGATGTGTGTGTACACACACACACACACACACACACACACACACACATGCACACATACCTTACACCATTGGTTTTTGGGAGTTACAGTAGTGGAACTTTATTTGAAGAAAAAATAAGTTCCTTTTCAGTCATCAAAATTCTGTACCTCTTACTGATCCCTGAGAAGCTTATTATGCAAAATGTATAGGCTTATAAAATAAGGAACACCTTAACTTAGCAAAACTTAATATCAGAAGTGAAACCTTCTGATGGAAGTAGATGAACTTCTTTCAATAGCCAGTGTTGTTGGTCAGTTCCTTGGTGTTTTAGACTGTTCTGTAGTTAAACTAGGTTGAATAACAATAAACCTCTTTCCCAGAAAGCTTTTCAATATAAGAACATATCAAAAAGACATTATATAAGATGGTTATATGGCTGCTTAGCAACTATGTAATGTGAACCAGGATCTGGAGAACATAAGATCTTTGGATTTTGGTGAGCTTCTGAAATGATTTGTTCAGAACATGGTAAACTGCAAGGATCTGTTCTGTAGAATTTTTATAGTATTTTAAATATGTTGGTGTGTTTGCTGTAAACAACTGGAATATAAATATAGGTGTGTTGAGTTTGATCCACTCCAGTCACTGCAGACACTGTAGCACATCCTGGGTGCATCTACATGAGATATTTACTGTACAGTTTATTGTGAGAATAACTGGACTAATTAACTGCATGGTAGAATAATTTGCTGGCAGTAAACATCTCAGCATCTACACATGCACCTCTATTATAAGTAATATCTTGAAGTGGAGTAAAACACTTGGCAGCAGTGCACGTGTAGATGTTGCCCCAGCTGGCTGGGGCATGAGGGTGCTTCTGTGTGGGGGCTGCCTGCTGGCTAGCCCTGCACTAAAGTACGCTTGTGTAGCAGTCAGCCCCTCCACAGCATGTTGAGCTGGGGGAAGCAACGCCAGGCTGGCAGGCTGAACCCCCAGGATCCCAGCCGGCTGAGGCTGTTCAGCCCTAGCTCAACATGTTGCAATCCTGGGTTCACGTGCAGATGTGTGCCTCTGAGCAATAAACACCGGTGCAATATGTGCCAGAGTTTATTGCTGGGATGTATTTGGTAGCCATGTTGGTCTGAGACAGAAAGAAATGCAAAAGCCTAGAAGTCTTGGTCCAGAAATGATACCCCTTATTAGACCAACTGGGAAATTGGTGTGCATTAATGTGCACGTGTAGATGCTCCCACTGCTCCTTTTGAGGGGTAATGCTCAGCATTATGACTTGCTGATTGATTAGGATCACAAAGACCACAATCAATAAACTAATTGAGCTTGGCCAGTTTGGTCTCTAAAATCTGTCTGAATGACATATTCTCATTAGAAACAGAAAACAATTAACAGGAAAGTTGACAGGGGGACAGAGTAACAAATATCAGCTTTAAAATTTTGTTCTTTCACTGACTAGACTTCTATTCATGTTGTAGTGTCACAACTTTGCCCATGGCAAAATGAGATAAAATTTCCCATTCAGAATTTCCGCAAGCTTCCTTTTTTTGTTTTATCAGGGTTTTCAGTGAGACTCAAAAGGGGGATAGAAAAAGAAAATAACTTGACAAAAAAGACCAATCCCTTTTTGTTCTGTTGCAGCATTGCACTCCAACCTTTATAGGTCTCTATCGCTTTTCCTGAATTGCAGGATCTCATCAGGTGCATATATATGTGCACTTTAATGCACAGTAGCCTGTTCTGTTGTGCATTAAAGCAGCACATAAAAAACCATGCTAATACTCTAATGCACAGTGGAATAGGCTACTTCACATTAAGCATCACCTAAAAAGCATGTGCTTGCCTTACTGTGCATTAGCACAGCCTAATGTGCATTTATTTATTATTTCATATTGGAAGTACTACATTTAATGTGCAGTAGGAAAAACACATTAATGCATATGTAGACACACCCTTCTATGTTAGTTAATCCTTCAAAACTCTTTACAGCATTATTGCAATTATCTTGTAAAGTTTCCTGCAGATTATAAAGAGGTCTTCAGGCTGGGTGACCTCAGTGTTTCATTGCCTCTGGGTTGTACTTTACTTAGTTTGTATTGATTAGAACCTCTCTTACCTATTTCCTCTACACAATGAAATAAAATGTGCAATAAGGCTGAAAATAATTTCTAACCGATAGAGAATTACACTCAGAACTTCTGAGCTTTTAATAACCAAACTGGTCTGCTGAGACACGTTTACTTTTAATCAGTGATATTTCTTACTGTTTCCTGTTAATTTTTTCCTGTGTGAAGTTCCAGAAATGAAACAGTGAATTTGGAAGGCTTTTGTTTTCCTTACCAATACAGTCCATATCAACTTTTCAACTGTATAGTAGACTAGTATTCCAACATCTTAAATCTGCTGGTATGGGTGACTCCAGTGCTGCATGAATCCATTTTTAGCACCAGCTACTGCTTTTAGTAACTTACATTGTCTCCCATGATAATAAAGCAACCCTTTTACCAGAGAACGGTATCCCAATATATTTTTTTCCACAAAAAGCAACCATTATAATAATGTTCTTTATGCTCATTCTACATAGAATAACTGACAGTACTAGGAGCTGTCATAGATGATGGCAGTGTAATAAGCCTGTACTTTTCAAATATTTTACAGCCCGGAAGAGCCTGCACCATTTTTCCAGTAAAGAAGAAGAAACCAAAGCATTGATTTACAATTATATCCCAGTTTTTTTGGGAGGATCGTCTATATTTCAGCAAGTCTTTTTTTTTGATTGAATGTCTCCTCAGAGGTACAGGATAGCTATTTGTGAATAGAGTTGTTTGTTCCTGTTTCATAATTAAGCAGATGTTGTGCATTGCAAATGACAGAAGGCCTGAGTGCCTTACATTACCTTACAATGATTTATCTTGTGTTGTCTTTGTAGGGTTGAACTATTAATTTAAAAATTTACATTCAGTGATAAAATAATTGTGATGGATCACGTTTTCAAACATGCTACAGAAAAATGTATTTTACCTCCAGAGGAGACAACTTAATTATACATCGAAAGAATCAGGGGGCATTTTTACATGTGCTCTGGAGGTGGGAGGTGGCACTTTAATTAGAGTGGTATAGCTCTGAGAGCCACTTCAATTAAAGCTCCCCACCGTCTTGTGCGTTAGTACCCCTGTACTTCAAAATGGTGGCAGAGCTGCTTGAAATGAAGCTCGTTTGACAAGCTTTAGTTCAAACACCCCCACCACCATTTGAAGCACAGGGACGCTAATACATGAGACGTGGGAGGATGCCGGAGCACAATAATTGCCACGCTCCAGCAGACTTGGCTAATCGAGCATCCACGTTTATTAAAAATTTTGCAATATTTTGCTCACATATATTTCAAATTAGTTTACTTCTGCAAAATATGGTGGAATCTATCATTGTAACATATTTAGTTTAAATATATATTACAGTATAATTCTGTTCTCCTGGAAAGAATATGAAACATTTTAAAAATGAAACGGTCATCTCATTTGGAACTTAATATAAGTATGTCTGCATAACCAAACTCTTGGCAGAGAACACAGTGGGTATGTCTACATGTGTTATTAATTTGAAGAAACAAACTCCAGCATATAACTTGTTGGAGGTTATTGCTCCCAGGCGTGCTGTTTGAATATCAGCATCTACACATGCGTTGCAGTACACCAAAAAACTCCACAGCAGGATAGTACTTTTATTAACTGGATAGTACTTGTCTTTATGGAAAAACTCCCTGCTGCAGAGTTTATTAGTTTCCTAATAATGCGGCCTAGTAGAGCTGCATGTGTAGATACTATGATATTTAGTGCAGAGCTAATTAGGCAGCTCCTCAGGAAATGTCTTGTGTAGATGTAGCCAGTCTGTCCTTGGAAACAAGGACAAAATAATAGGAAAGTGTTGTTGCAGAAAGATATAAAAAGGTCATGTAGTATCCTATTTATGGAATTGTATTGGGTATCTTTTTGGGTAGCTTGTGCTATTGTAGTCTTACATATCGGGGAAAATGAAGCATAGTCAAGGCATAGCTAACATCAGAAAAAATAATCTAGTTTGGAGGGCCTATGTTACAGAACACTGGGCATGTTTACATGTGAATTTACATGTGCCTAAACTTAATGTGCCTTACCCTAAGGCACATTAAAACAGTTTAGGTGCATGTCTACATGTGGTTACCTTAAGGTGCCTTAACATGGCTTTGCATCCTGCCCTTGTCAGCACTCTAGACAGTTCCTCTCACAGCACTGCTCTTATCCACTTCCCCTGGTCCTCCCTCCCCAGCAGATGAATGGCACTGCCAGGAAGTAAAAATGGTGGGTACTTTTGCTTCCGCTAGCATCAATCCTGCCCTGTGGTAGAGGCATGGGTTTGCTGGCCAGGCAATGCAACCCCTGTAGTGGTGGGACGCCTCACTGCCTGCCTGGGATTTAGGCACCTTTAGAAGCTGGTGCTGGGGCTCCTGCCTGAGACAGCAAGCAGACTGGGTCTGCGTCTGACCCTGCAACTCATGGCAGGTTTTTCCTGCTCCAGCTGGCTCCGTCCCTAGCAAGCGCCCAGCTTGTCTGCTGGCAGGACACTCCTGGGGGCTCTGCTTGGCTCAGCCTAGGGAGGCTGGGCACCAAGCCCCCTGCCCATGTTGCAGCTGGTGCAACAGACATAAGTGTTAAGGTGCCGTACCGCGCTTACACATGGGGTACGGTGTCTCTACTACTCACACCTAAATTTGATACCTGCTTTATGCAGGTATCAAATTTAGTGCTAGATCTCCCTAAGTTGCCATATTTAAGGCACATTAAGGATGGGCACACGTAGACACATCCTTAATGCACCTTAAATACAGCAACTAATGCAATGTTAATTGCCTTAAGTCACTTTAAGGGCGCATGTGTAGACATACCCACTGATTAACTTCCCACTCCCAACTTAAAATACATTTTCATACCTTCCTTGAGAATCCAATCAGGAAGCCCACTGTAATCAATGGACAGATCTTTGGATTAGGCCCTCAATTTGCTTTTTAAAGGACTGAGTAGTCCTTAACGCCATCATGAGTAATTTAACTTTTTCTTTTCCTATTGAGTGAATTCCTGATCAAATCAAAAGCTTGGTTATTGATGACAGAAGGGCCAAAGTTTTACTCTTCTTTTTAAAACAGGGTCATGTCATACTTTACATAAAGATGACTACATGGAGTCAGCACTGCAAATGCTTACTGTTGAATTTACTGTACTGTAATCCCTTTCTCTTTGTTTGCCTTGCAGCACACTTCCTTAAATTTAAGTGGATGTTCTCAATTACTGAAAAAAGTTTGAGTATTTCTTTGCTAGATCCATATGAGAATTCAAATGAGACAATTGCACATATTTCTCTTTCATTAGTCAGGCTGTAAACTTGCATTGATGTCAATGGGAATTTTGAGTATGAAAAAATACAGGTTTTGACACTCAGGTCTCCAGAATTGGAAGTGAATATACTGTATTCTGAAGTACCAAATCTGAAATACATGCAATACATTTCTCAGGTCATTCAAGTTGGAGGAATACTTTTTTCTTGCTAGTTACAATTAGATAGGGCTAGCCACAAAGCAAAAGCAGCTATCTGGGTATGGCTTGGGTCTGAAACTCAAAGCCTGTATTTCAGTTTCTGGGTGTTACTGTCAAAGGGAGAGAAATTGAATTTCTGTGGGACATTGTAGGTTACTTCTGCAATTGCTTGTCTAGCCCAGTTGAGTTCACTATAGTTCTATGTTATATTTTGAATCTGTAGCATGGGTCTGATTTCTTACACAAATATGACAGTATAAATTGACTGCATTAGAATTATTCCTGGCATACACTGGGGAGAGGAGAGATGGAATCAGATCCTCTATCTGTCAACAAGCAGAGCAGCTAAGTTACTTACAAACTAAGGGCCAAATCCTGCAGTTCTTACACAAGCAAAACTCTCAGAGACGTTGACCTGATTAAGCAATGGAAGATGCAGCCCTTATATAGGGACCAATCCTGACTTTGGGATTCTTGTTAAGTTCAGTGGTGGTAAGAAGGGATATATTGTATACAGTATAATATGTTTTGGGGGTATTGGTTGTTGCCATGTTGGTCTAAGGACATAGGTATCCAAGGTTCTTTGGGCAAATGCAATATCTTTTATTAGATCAACTGTGCGCCATAAATCATGGACTAATTGGATTTATGGCACATTATAACCTGCCTGCTATCTGATAACCCCAGGTAACAGCTCTGCATTTTACCAGCAACATTCTATCACCAGTTCAACACTCCCCACTTTCCCCTTTGCCACCTGTCTTACACCTATTGTCTCCCATGGCCTCTGATCCTCACTGCCACACATTTGCATATTGGCTTCTGTTCCATCCAAGAGAACACAAAGCAACAGCAGCCTCTCCCTATGCCTGAAGAAGGGGGTCTGTGCCCAAAAGCTTGCAAAGAACAATTTTTCCAACTATTTTGTTGGTCTAATAAAATATATCCCATCTACCCAAAGAACTTTGTCTGATATATAACATGGAAGAGATTAGTATATTTATTCACAAATATGTAAGTTTATTTTTCTTGTTGTTTTGTTCTACTGTATAAGCCTTACTTCAATGAACTGATAATGTTAATGATGTCCTTTAATACTTGAAATAAAATTTATCTAAGCAGTTTTGTACTTTATGTTGTTCACAGATTCTAAAGAGACAAATATTTACAGTTCCTTGTTTTTCTGTCCAGCTTTAACAGTTGCACACTATCAGGGCTGGGGCAGCTCTGCAGCTGGACTCCATTTTTCAGCAGGCTTGGCAGTGCTGGCTCCTTCTAGCTGCTGCCACTGGCTGGAGCCCCACAAAGACTGGCCAGAACCCATGCAGACAGGGCCCAAGGCCTGGACTGAGCACACAGCCCTAGCCCTGGCCCATCTCACATGTGGGGATCAGGGTCCCTGCTGCACCCACTCTAGCCCTGCCTGCCCTGACCACAATGAGTGGCAGCAGCGGTTGAGCAGAAGAGCTGCTGCTGGGTGCGGGGAAAAAGTGGGACCGAGTGGGAGCTGTGGTCACCTTCCTCTCACTGCTGCCATTGTCTGCACTCACCTCCCCCTTCTTGCTGCAGTTGTCATAGCCCACACTGTGGTTGCTCTATGGTTTCTCCCAGCACCCAGCAGCAACTTCTGCTTGGCCACCACTGCCTCGGCACTAAGGCTGCCAGTGATGAAGCAGGGCAGCAGCTCCAGCCTCTCCTCAGGCTAAAAGGGCAGCCTGGAGGTGGTTTTGGTGGCAATGGGAAGCCCAGCTAAGTTAGCTGAAACTGCTGCCCACCCATGCTCACACCAGCTTCCCACCTGCAGCACCATCCCACATAAGGAGGTTTGGTAAGCTGTTGCACAGGGTGGGGGGTGGATACTCACTTTGCCTGTGACAGCTTTCCAAAACTCCCTATGTGGCCCGTGGACCCAAATAATTGCCAACCCCTGGTTTAGATTAACTTTGGCCTCATACAGACATTCAGTTTCTCCTGGGGTAATCACTGCTCTTCAAGGAGAGACCACAAGTGTACAGATGTTCAGGTTTTTGCTCCCTGAGTAAAAATGGCCACTCCAGGGGAAAAATAACCTGGGAACAACCAGGATTAAATCACTCCTGGGAAAGTAAGTGTCTGTACATCCAATGGCTTTTCTCAGCAGAGAACATAATCCTCCAGCTTCCCCACCTTTCCCCTGCCCCAAGGAGATAGGGTGTCACTCACTGGACTGCTGCTCCAAAACACTTCCACTTCACAATCCCCACATTTTGCTGCAGGGAAACACAGGATGAGCCTGGGTTAGCCAATCAGGGCTGCCCTATGCACTGCTGTCATCTGTTACCAGGCAGACTAAAGAAACTTGCAGAGCACTCCCTGGCTGCACTGTGTAAGCCAGGGGCAGGCAATTATTTTGGGCGGAGGGCCGCTTACTGAGTTTCAGCAAGCCATTGAGGGCCGCATGACAGGCAGCCCAGGGCAGATTAATATTCATTTTCTAAATTTTTTAGGGGACCCGCAGGCCGGATAGAATGGCCTGGCGGGCTGCATCCGGCCCTCAGGCTGCATTTTGCCCACTCCTGGTGTAAGCTCTTCAGGGCCTCAGCATTGAATGTCTGTACACGTGACTCTTGGTAAATTTCTCTACAAGAAGAACAAACATGGGAAAATTCTTCCAGAACATTTGACTGGGTGTTGTGCAGCCTTTGTTTAGTTCTAAAAATAAGACACTGCCCAAATTGGAGACTGGCATGGTGAAGCTTCTGCAGGAGCTGAGCCATGCAGTTTGAGGGATTTTCCTTGGGGGTGACTGTCAGAGCAGGGGGCTGGATAATGTTGGTGGAGCTCTGTGCATCTGAGAGGCACAGCAGGGAGCTGGGTGATACCTGGCGTTATGGCCCTGAGAAAGTCACAAGGCTCGTGGGGCAGTATGCTGAGTGACATGAAGCTTCGAAGTGTGAGCAAGGAACCTCTTTTTATGCTTCATTTCTGCTTTACTCAGTGAAATTACAACTTCTTACATTCTTTGTAACTTCCCTGAATATCCGATTCTGTCAATGACTTCTGCCCCAAACAATCCAAAATTGCTCACACTAGAAATTAACAGTAATACTTTTAAGAACAATTTTGTTTTTAATATAAAAATTCCAGTCTTCAGACTTCACTATCCACATTATTGAAACATTAAAATTAAAATACATTTTGAAATTGATACTGATGAAGAAGCAGAAAAACCATAGAGCCAAGTACTAATCTCATTCAGACAGCGCTAATAAATCTATCCCACTATTATAAAGAATATGTCATTCCATCAACAATATCATGGGTGCCAAGTATATGAGGGCCCAAGGGCCCTGACTCACCTCGGGAAGAGGACTGTCACCTGAAGGGTGCAAAACTTTCCACATGTCTATCATCTTAGCCCCACCTTCCAGCAAAAATAAAAGTCGGCACCTATGAACAATAATATTGTGTTTATTATATGTGTTATGTTTCAACACCTGTGTAAACCAAATGGTTTTTAATTTGTACTACTATATTTCCAACACTAGATGGCCTAAGAAAACCAGTTAATTTAGCCCATAATTTCTTAAACAGTTGTATTGTTCTTTTGTATCAGATTTTAAATTTTAATGTGTTGGTGTTAGGCAGAAAGTTACATTCCAAATGTTGGCTTGAATATGACAACTATTATTGTGGTATTTGTTTAAGTATGTGGGATTAAATAATATTTTGTGGCAATAATTATATGCCTGTTAAGCTTTTGGCATTTCTAGTAGAAAATTAACTAATATTTACTGAGCGTACACATGCACATATGCTCCAATCTACTGCACAGAACGACTGCAAAGAGAATGGCTCAGACGCATAGTAGGAAGATCAGTAATTCCACCACTCTCTTCCACCTGGCCTCAGGAGCTGCACTCTGAGAGAATCACATGGGTGTGATCCCCTGGGACAGAAGGTTGCTGGTAATGTGCATGAGGATAGCTATTTTCCATGTTGATATTCCCCTTAGTCAGGGAATGCTGTGTCAGCATAAACCTATTGGGTTTATTCCAGAGCATAAGTAGAGGCCATATAAGGGTGCCATGTTGCCCTCTGCACCAATTCCCAAGCCCATCTTCTCTCAAACATTCAAATATTCAAAGTAAAAAAAAAGGAAAGAAATGAGGTAGATAGCAAATCTGTCTCTGCAGACCTCCCTCTTCCCCACTCTCTCTTGCTCTCTGCCCCCTCCCTTGTCTTTTTATTCTAATTTCTCTCTCCTCCTTATACTCTGCTTTCTCCAAGTCCTGTCACAGCATCTGATGAAGTAACCCTGGGTTCACAAAAGCTTGTGCTCTTTCTATACATTTCTTAGTTAGTCTATAATGGTGCTTATCTACCCTGCCTTCTGACTGACTTCAGACTAACATGGCTAACTACTTCTCTCTGTCTCAGCTGAAATTATTTTAATTTGAGAGCTCTAGAGTATTGAGCTATATGCTTTTCTTCATAGCCTTCTCCTTGCTAACAGGTAAGAGTAATTTGGTTATTAAGCAGCTGGCTGCTCAGTAATGTATCAGTTAGTTCCTTTATAATTTATCCTTTACTCATTACTGTATTTTGTATGCCAAGACTAGATGAGGTAAAGAACACTGCAGGTAATGCAAAGGAAGAAGATGCCTAATTTGGGGCCCACAGTTGAATCTGCTGATAGGATGTGTAGAGAAAGTGGATTTTGATAAGGACCATGTTGGTGGAGCGACCAACACATTGGGCAGGGGTAGTACAAAAGACTGAAAAACCGGTCGGTTGGGGCAAAGCTTAGGGTTGTGTTACACTTTCAGCTTAACACTAAGCAAGCACAATTAAAACACAAGCAGATGCATGTTCACAGATGCATGTTCAAACCATTTAGGCACCCTCAGAAGTTGTTCGCTTTCAGGCTAGGGTTATATTCCAGTGATTTGCAGAGGTTGCAAGTGAGCGTGCACCTTAACTGGTACTAACTTTAAGACAACATAACATTCCAGTGATTTTTAGCACTTACAAGTGAACTTGTGACAAAGGCCTTGGAATCAATGAAGAAGAGAAAATACTTAAACAATAGACCCAAATCTACCAACTTCTAGGGGATTGCCCTAAACACTAAATCCTTTAAGCTAAACCCCTCTCTGATATTGGCTATTTTAGGCAACTTCCTGTTTGTGGTGTCCTGGTTAACTCTAATATCATATAACATTCCATAGATTTAGCATGGCCTCAGGGTAACAAAGCTGTTAGGCACCAAATTACCTTTCCCATGACTTCCACTAGGCAGAAAGATGAGATGCTGAGTTTCTGCTCCCAACTCCTTTGTTGATTTAACCTTAAGATATTACAGTGAAAAGAACCATCAGGAACCCACTAAGAAATTAATAGTTCTGTCTTCAATTCATCCCCATGCTTTCCTTACTGTTCCAAACCACCAAGAAAAAGCAAAATAATGAATAGATGCTCATTAAATGAACATCATTTTGTGCACTGAATGAGGCAGGGGATCTGGCGGAAAAACTGGTGTGTGATCATGTAATTAAGGGCTGTATATTAATATCTGCTCGCAAGGAAGCTAAATTAAGATTGCGCAGACAACCCTCATTCCATTATTTCTAAATTTTTGCCTTTTGCAACTTAATGTTCTTTTAATGTTGTTTCCTTGCAAGCAATTTACTTCATGTTTATGTAAATAAAGTTTGGGATTTTCAGAGAAGCCTAAAGCCGTTAGACATTCAATTCCCTGTAGAATTTCAGAAGTCCAGCGTGAATGATTCCAGAGCTAAGTGTGCCTTTCCTGGAACTTAAATGCATCAACACCATAATGAGGGGTCCTAATGCCATCCATAACTCAAGTTCCTTTTAATGAGCGCTACAAATTGCACTGGCTTACAGTTCATTTCCAGGTGCAATGTGCAGTATTCATTCTTACCAATAGAGCTTTTTATGTTTTTGTCTCATCTTAATGGTGGCCTTTTCTACTCTACACAATTATTTCCTTGCTAGATAGTCAACAATGGCTTTCATAGGGCATCCATGTACTGGGGACTTTCCTCTGCTTTCCACATTCCCCCAGCTGATTTATGTCTTTTCCATAATACCTACCACACAATGGACTTTT